CACAAGACAGGCTCTAGAGCAATGTGGATATCCTAACTGGGCCTTCCTGAAAGCAGAGAAGAAACCCAAACAGGACTCCAGTCAGCCAACAGATGAAAAGGAGGAACCCAGACCCAGACCAGTGGTCATTCCATATGTTGAGGGAGTATCAGAGAAACTGAGACGTTTATTTTCTAAACATAACGTCCCAGTGACTTTTAAACCCCAAAATACATTACGGCAAAGACTGGTTCATCCCAAAGATCCAGTCCCCCGGCACAAACAGAGTAATGTTATGTATGCTGTTCAGTGTCAGGAGGGCTGTGATCAGTCTTACATCGGGGAAACTAAACAGCCACTGGCCAAAAGGATGGCCCAGCACAGAAGATCAACATCATCAGGCCAGGACTCTGCGGTCTACACTCATCTCCAGGCCAGAGGTCACTCTTTCAGGGATGAAGATGTTCACATCCTGGACAGAGAGGAACGATGGTTTGAGAGAGGAGTAAAGGAGGCCATCTTTGTGAAAAGAAACCGTCCATCGTTAAACAGGGGTGGAGGTCTACGTGTTCAATTGTCCCCCTCTTACAATGCTGTGATTGCTAGTATCACTCAGCCCTCTGTGAATAGTAAACAGCCATCAGGTGCTAATGATCCATTGTTAGGCTGATGGTCCTTCTTGAGCATGTGATCAGCTGGTTTTGGTTGTCAGCAGCAAAACTGGTTGATCCACTCTGAGAAGGTGCTATTTAAGAGACTGAGCTGAATACAGCACCTCAGACTGAGGAAGTCTCTCGGATGAGAGACGAAACGTTTCTACATTTTTTTGTTGTTTTGCTTTGTTTTGTTTTTTTTGAATGTCCAGAGGACCAGATTTAACTTTTTTAGATTTTTCTACCTGGATTATTGAGCATGCATCAGGATATTTGATTAAGTTGATTAAAAACAGAAATGACGAGGCTCAGTGAGACTAACAACCTGTGTAAGTAAAGGTTGAATTGAAATTACTATTTTAGAGAGCAGTGAGTTATAGCAGCTCTGATTATGTCCAGCGTCTCCCCCCCCCCCCACACACACACACAAACTTCAATGTCCGACCCGAATTCTTCTGAATTCAGTCCTGCACATTGTTCTGCTCCAATCTCTATCACCACTGCCTTCAGGTGCTTCAGTTCTCTGTTGTCCAGGAAGGACAATCCACCCATCCATTATTATTTTACAAAATAAATTGGACTGTCTTTTTAACATTTTGATCGCTGTTATTTTGACTAAATTTGAAACATGATGTGAATAATACACATTATCTTTGAAATATATGCAGGAGTTCTGACACATTAGCAGTTGTGTGCACTCTGCAGAGCTGTCTAGAGAGGCTCCTGTGCGTAAAACGTGCACTGTCTGCAGGGCGCACAGCTGAGCAAGTGAAGCTGACACCCCATCCACGTCAAAAATTCTAGTTAATACGATGAGTGGTTAGTGCTACGTTTGTGCTGGTTTGTGCTGTTAAAATGTTTGTTTGTGCTGCTTTGGTTTCTGAGACACAGCTGAAGGTGGATGAAGACGCTTCATCCCCGCGGGACATGCGGTCAGCGTCTCTGCTGGCAGCAGCGTGTGCACGAGCTGTTGCACCTGCTGCAGCAGTAACATCCACACCACAGACATGGACAAAGTCTCCTGTCGTTGTATTTTTAATAAATAATCAAAATAAAAATGCGCAAGGACTTTGGACTTTAATGTGCGGAGATATGAGCTGCCAGATCCAATTGAACAGTTGCCGGAATGCACACGGTGAAAATGAGGGGGTTCCTGGATCTTGTTCCGGCAGGATCCAGCTCAAATTAATCACTGGTGTCAGTACATGTACTAATGTACCCCAGTACAATAAGAGCTGTTGGAGGACACATACATTTTTTTATCCAGGTTAAAGATAAAAACCATCTCCGAGCAGTATTCCTGTAACCACAGCTGTAAATATCATTAAAATGTATACGGTTCATGGGACTGTAACCAACCTCTCAGGAAGTGGATGCAAGAGTAAATGCAACTCCCAAGTTCATCAAACTGATAGTATGGATCATGATTGTAGAAAATGAGCCCAGGAGACCATCCAAAACTGGCCAAAGCTATCCAAAGTCAATGTGCGTTATTTTCTGATAACACCTATGGGTTTATTAGAAGACGGCCCAAGAGGACTCCACTATCGACAGAAAAACATAAAAAAGCTAGACAGGATTGCAAGAAAGTGCATATTGACAAGAACCAAAGTTTCTGGGACTTATAAGAAGAAACTGAAGCTTTTTAGCTCCAGTCACAACTCGTTGTTTTTCTGTCTCCGTCCTGCCCATAACTTCTGATCCGCTCAAGATAATTAAATGAAGCTGCATATATGCGTATATGCATCATCAATCAAATCAAAGTTCAGGAACAAGCTCAGCATCCTCCTGTCTTTCCCACAGCCAAAGACATACCACCCTCCATTGACCCAAGGCTGTCCTGTCACACCTCAAATACTGTATATACCACCTCAGTCATGGACCCTTCTTCTACATATTGGTCTTCAACCAAATCAGAAGATGCTGATACCTCCTTTGCCTTCCCTTTCTGCATCTTCAGAAGTCAGGTGAGGAAGCAGCTGGAGATACTGAACCGGAATAAGGCTGCGGGTCCAGATGGTGTCAGTCCCAGATTCCTGAAGGTCTGTGCAGAGCAGCTCTGTGGGGTTCTGCAGCACCTCTTCAACCTTAGCCTGACCCTGTAGAAGGTTCCAGTGTTGTGGAAAACCTCCTGTCTTGTTCCAGTACCAAAGAAAACTCGCCCTTCAGTCCTCAATGACTATAGACCTGTTGCCCTGACATCCCACATCATGAGGGTCCTAGAGAGACTTCTGCTGACCCACCTGACTTGACAAACAAGCACATATCAGGACCCACTGCAGTTTGCTTATCAGCGTGGACTTGGAGTTGTGGTCAGTAAAATGTTGGACTTCCTGGGATTTAATTTTAACCCAGGTGTCATCAACATACGTGAACCAATGACTTGGTGGTGTCCCTGAAAAGGACGTCAAGGCTCTCTTTTCTACCTCCTCCATGTGCAGGTTGGCAACAATAGGAGAAACTGGAGACCCCATAGCACACCCATGTTTCTGCCTCTAATATTGTCCACCATATGTGAAGTAGGTTGACTGTAGGCACAGTTTCAAGAGTAGATATACAAGATACATACTTGCACCACCACTAAACATCGTGTCAGACATTTTTTTCATTACCCCGGCTCTAAGGTCAAAATCACAAATCAAGGTCAAAGGTCATGCAAGGTCTTTGCTCATGTATACAGTGGGGAGAACAAGTATTTGATACACTGTTGATTTTTCAGGTTTTCCCACTTGCAAAGCTTGTAGATGACTGTAATTTTTATCATAGGTACTCTTCAACTGTGAGTGATGGAATCTAAAACAAAAATCCAGAAAAATACAATGTATGATTTTTAAATAATTAATTTCCATTTTATTGTGTGAAATAAGTATTTGATACACCAGAAAAATGAAACTTAATATTTGGTACAGAAACCTTTGTTTGCAATTACAGAGATCAGACGTTTCCTGTAGTTCTTGACCAGGTTTGCACACACTGCAGCAGGGATTTTGGCCCACTCCTCCATACAGATCTCCTCCAGAGCCTTCAGGTTTCGGGGCCGTCACTGGGCCACATGGACTTTAAGCTCCCTCCAAAGATTTTCTATGGGATTCAGGTCTGGAGACTGGCTAGGCCACTCCAGGACCTTAAGATGTTTCCTACGGAGCCACTCTTTAGTTGCCCTGGCTGTGTGTTTTGGGTCGTTATCATGCTGGAAGACCCAGCCACGACCCATCTTCAGTGCTCTTACTGAGGGAAGGAGGTTGTTGGCCAAAATCTCACGATACATGGCCCCATCCATCCTTCCCACAATATGGTGCAGTCGTCCTGTCCCCTTTGCAGAAAAGCATCCCCAAAGAATGATGTTTCCACCGCCATGTTTCACGGTTGGGATGGTGTTCTTGGGGTTGTACTCATTATTCTTCTTCCTCCAAACATGACGAGTGGAGTTTAAACCAAAAAGTTCTATTTTTGTCTCATCAGACCACATGACCTTCTCCCATTCCTCCTCTGGATAATTCAGATGGTCATTTGCAAACTTCAGATGGGCTTTGACATGCGTTGGCTTGAGGAAGGGCACCTTGCGTGCACTGCAGGATTTTAATCCTTGACGGCGTAGAGTGTTACTGATTGTTTTCTTTGAGACTGTGGTCCCAGCTCTATTCAGGTCATTGACCAGGTCCTGCCGTGTAGTTCTGGGCTCATTCCTCACCTTCCTCAAGATCAATGCTGCTCCACGAGGTGAGATCTTGCATGGCGCCCCAGACCGAGGGAGATTTTCCGTTATTTTGTATTTCTTCCATTTTCTAATAATTGCACCAACTGTTGTTGCCTTCTCACCAAGCTGCTTGCCTATTGTCCTGTAGCCCATCCCAGCCTTGTGCAGGTCTACAATTTTATCCCTGATGTCCTTACACAGCTCTCTGGTCTTGGGTATTGTGGAGATGCTGGAGTCTGATTGATTGAGTGTGTGGACAGGTGTCTTTTATACAGGTCACGAGTCCAAACAGGTGCAGTTAATACAGGTAATGAGTGGAGAACAGGAGGGCTTCTTAAAGAAGAACTAACATGTCTGTGAGAGCCAAAATTCTTACTGGTTGATAGATGATCAAATACTTATTTCACACAATAAAATGGAAATTAATTATTTAGAAATCATACATTGTATTTTTCTGGATTTTTGTTTTAGATTCCATCACTCACAGTTGAAGAGTACCTATGATAAAAATTACAGTCATCTACAAGCTTTGCAAGTGGGAAAACCTGAAAAATCAACAGTGTATCAAATACTTGTTCTCTCCACTGTAGTAGTTTTTCAGCGGGCATATAATGTGTTGTATGTTACTCTTGCATTTAAGCAGGCTGTTTTTATTTATTTTTTTATGCTAGGCTCTTCGAGAGGGGAAGCGTTGTGTGACTGCCCACTGGCTCAGCACCGTGCTGAAGAAGAAAAAGATGGTTCCTCCTCATCGAACATTACATCTGCCCTTCGCTTTCCCTCCAGGGGCCAAACCGTGCTCTCAGCATGTAGGTCAACTACAACACAAACTGTAACTTCTTGTCTTTTCAGCTGTTTTCTTTTTACTTGAAGGAGACAAGAGTCACAAGATATTTTGATGCAGTTTCATGTTTCAATTCAATTCAAGTTCAATTCAATTCAATTCAAAAATACTTTATTAATCCCAGAGGGAAATTAAGTGTCGTCGTAGCTCATCATCCTGGTTTCATTCAAGAGTTGTTAGATGCTGATAGCTGTGGGAAGGAAGGATCTTCTGCAGTGAATCTGAAGGATCTGGCCACAGATACCGATCTGTCCACCCAGATCCAGCTTGCTGTCAGATCCGGCAGGCCTCTTGGTCCTCCTGGGCAGCAGGACTGCCCGAATGCTGGACAGAATTCCTCCCTGAGCGATGATCACTCTTCCCAGCAGTCTGCAGAGCTCCTCGTTGCCACAGACAGACAGCTGAAGGTGCCGGGGGAAGATCCCGGTCCTCCTTATGTCACGAGTTGAGTTTCCCACCAGCTTCAATGAGTCCCAGAGGCTAAGTGGGATTAACCTGTATAAATAAATGTTGAATGAATGAATGTAAGCATCTGAGGAGCAATTGGGGACACCATGGCGTGAGAATGACTGGGAGTCGAACCGCGACTTTCTGGTCCCTGGTAGGCTGCTCCACTTCTACCCCATCTTGACCCCCAGTTATGACCACATAAGCTAGGCTAACAAGAAATGACTAATCACTAAAAGAACAACGCTAAACAGCAAACCAAAATGATTTAACAGTGAACATAAATTTTACCCATAATCCCTCCGTGAGGCCATGTGACCAGCAGTCAATCACAATGAACCAATGAGGTAGTCTCATTGAGAAATGAGGACCCACCCCCCCAAGGGAGACGTGGCGCCTGGGTGTGACGAAGCTAAATGTTTTGTCGGCATGAAGCTTGTTAGCCCGTCAAAAACAAAAAACAAGAATCCATAAATTAGCTGCAGCACTGTATAAGCCGCAGGGTTCAAAGTGTGTGAAAAACATAGCGGCTTATATACCGTAAAGTACAGTATGTCTGCCAATCTTACTGCATGTTTCTTCCCTGTCTCATCTCTCAGATTGTATCGGTGACAGGCTTTGTGGACGCTGACAGGGATGACCTGAAGCTCATGGCTTACTTGGCCGGTGCCAGATACACGGGATACTTGTGCCGCAGTAATACGGTCCTCATCTGCAAAGAGTAAGACTGCGAAGATGAACACGTTCATGTTCAGTCAGAAACTGCGGCTGGCTACATGTGTTTCTCTCCTTTAGACCCAGTGGACTGAAGTATGAGAAGGCTAAGGAGTGGAAGATCCCGTGTGTCAACGCTCAGTGGCTTTGTGATATTCTACTGGGGAACTTTGAAGCTCTGAGACAAATTCAGCACAGCCGATACTCCATCTTCACTCACCCCGAGCCACTGGCACCCAACCCTCAGTTGGTCCACAACCTGCTGGGTATGTCCAACAACAGCACTGTGTGAAGGAATATACTGAGAACCACGTTAGCATCACCTGAAGCCTGGCACAAGTACACCCTTACAGCAGCAGCCCTGCCTCTTTAAGAATCACTTTAAAGAGTTTGACATGTTCCCCCAGACTCTGCTCATTTACCCTATTCTAATCACATTTGAACAAACTTGTACAAAACTAAACCAATAAAAATTTGCTTCCTTGAAACCAGATGTATCATCTGCTGCCCCTTACACCAGAGAGTTAGATTAAAATGTGCAATTTCTAAAACCAAAATGACACATTATCATCCATAGACGAGCCCATTGGGATAGAGAAGTTGGGTAATTTAGATGTATTAGTACTAGGTGTTGAATTGACTAGTCAATTCTAGGACATTTTGCGAGTTTTTAAATTTCACGTCGACTAGTCACAGTCGTGCAATTGTGTCACGTGATCAGCGCCAGGCACTGACTACAAAATGGATTCTTCCAAGCAGACGGAAGGCGAGGAACAGGCCAAGTCTCAGCAAACCAGTAGAAATCCATCAACAGTGTGGAGGTATTTCACTAAAGATTACTCTTCCGGTTCAACTATCCACCACCGCCCCCCCCCCCCCCCACCCACACACACACACACACACACCTTTTTAGTTTTTATTTTATTTAATCCACCATAAAACTAAACTAAAAACAGGGGGGCCCTGCCCCCCTGTTTTTAGTTTAGTTTTTTTTACGTGCTGTATGTTTCTTTCACTTTTGCAGCTTAATAATACTGTATTTTTTGGCCTATAAGTCTCAGTTTTTTGCATAATTTACATGCCCTGCGACTTATAGTCCGAAGTGACATATTTATGGATTTTTTCCCATATTTATAAACCATTTTTTGGCTGAGATATGACCGTTTACATTAATTCTGACTGAAAAAAAACAAAAACAACAGTACCACTTTCAGCCACTTGATGGCAGCAGAGTAGTAATAGTTGTATGGCATGCTGTTGGCTGTTGTATCATGTAATAGGTAAACGTGGCTGTAATGACAAATTCAAAAAAGTTCACAACAAAAACAACTGGACTTCATTTATGATACTATACTTTATACTTTATTTATTTATTTATTTTTTTTACTTTTTAGAATTTGCCATGTCCTGGATGACTGAGAATCTTCACCAGGTTTTAATGACTCAATCGGCCTGCCATAGCCTCCCCACTTTCATTCTGCTCTCTGCTTGGAACTGTCAAAACAGCTGCACCACCCCAGCAAAATTCAGCTGATTTGACTATTAAAGTACATTTATTGAGCAAATGTTAGACTGACACACACCTTTGCTATAATTTCGAGCAAACAAACGTTTAGATGCTTTTCTTGTTAAATTTCAGAGAAACGAGCCACGTTCCTCCTTCTTTTTTCCCGTCCTGCACATTCGTGGAGCACCGAGGCAGCAAAACTATTTTTTAAATAAAGCTGATTTGACCATTAGAGTACATTTATTAAGCAAATGTTAGACTGAGACACACCTTCGCTATAATTTTGAGCAAACAAATAATTGTTTTTAAGTGTTAATCTAGTTAAATTCTGTCAAAGTCCTCCCGTGCACGCTCCTGCAGCTGCCATTTGGCAGCCCATCAGTTTTTGGCACAACACATCCACATTTCCGGATTCGGCCCACATTTCTGGGTTGTTGGCGGTGACGCGTAATAGATGCGACGTATATGGCAAAGCAACATATTTATGGATTTTTCCACTTTATTAGACAAATCTGGACTGATGGGACTTATAGGGGGGTGCGACGTGTCCGCCGGAAAATACGGTTTCGGTTTTCCTGTGACTTCTTTGCAGAATGATAAATGGTAGGAGCATAAACGTAGCATCTTGAGTTCCTATGACGTCATCGACTAGTCGACGTTGACTCGACTTTTATCCTGTTGAAGTCGACTTTAAAAATATGAAGTTGTGCAACCCCTAGTTGGTACTTATTTACACTCAGATTTACTCAGATTTGACTCAAATGTAAACTGAAGTAAACTTCTAAGCAACAGATTTTGACATTTTGATACAAGCTAGTTGTTGTTCGTGTTAGATTAGAGTTTAAGAAAAGATTGAAATGGTAAGTGGAAGAGTTTAAAAGAAGTTTTGTAGTAAAACTGAGGTGTATTTCTGACCTGCTTAAGGCCCTGACACGTTTTGTGAGTGAAACCGTAGCTTTTCAGCTGCAGTTTGATCTTTTGTGTACATGACAACAGCACTCGTTCTCTCTGAAACGGAAGGTTTCTGAATCCTGCTCTGAGTGGAGATTTTCAGGGGAACCCTCGACACTCCACCTTCTACAGGTCCTTCTCAAAAAATTAGCATATTGTGATAAAGGTCATTATTTTCCATAATGTAATGATAAAAATGAAACTTTCATATATTTCAGATTCATTGCACACCAACTGAAATATTTCAGGTCTTTAATTGTTTTAATACTGATGATTATGGCATACAGCTCATGAAAACCCAAAATGCCTGTCCCAAAAAATTAGCATATTATGAAAAGGTTCTCTAAACAAGCTATTAACCTAACCATCTGAATCAACAACGTAACTCTAAACACCTGCAAAAGATTCCTGAGGCTTTTAAAAACTCCCAGCCTTGTTCATTACTCAAAACCGCAATCATGGGTAAGACTGCCGACCTGACTGCTGTCCAGAAGGCCATCATTGGCACCCTCAAGCAAGAGGGTAAGACACAGAAAGAAATTGCTGAACAAATAGGCTGTTCCCAGAGTGCTGTATCAAGGCACCTCAGTGGGAAGTCTGTGGGAAGGGAAAGGTGTGGCAGAAAACGCTGCACAACGAGAAGAGGTGACCGGACCCTGAGGAGAATTGTGGAGAAGGGCCGATTCCAGTCCTTGGGGGACCTGCGGAAGCAGTGGACTGAGTCTGGAGTAGAAACATCCAGAGCCACCGTGCACAGGCATGTGCAGGAAATGGGCTAAAGGTGCTGCATTCCCCAGGTCAAGCCACTTTTGAACAAGAGACTGCTTCAGAAGCATCTCGCCTGGGACTGCTGCTGAGTGGTCCAAAGTTATGTTCTCTGATTACAGTAAATTTTGCATTTCCTTTGGAAATCAAGGTCCCAGAGTCTGGAGGAAGAGAGGAGACACAGAATTCACATTGCTTGAGGTCCAGTGTCAAGTTTCCACAGTCACTGGGGTGTCATGTCATCTGCTGGTGTTGGTCCACTGTGTTTTATCAAGCGCAGGGTCAATGCAGCTAGCTATCAGGAGATTTTGGAACACTTCATGCTTCCATCATGTTTTTCAGCATGTTCTGGGTCTTCCCCGGGGTCTCCTCCTAGTTGGACTTGCCCAAAGCGCCTCCCTAGGGAGGCGCTATGGGAGCATCCTTACCAGATGCTTGAACCACCTCAACTGGCTCCTCTCAATGTGGAGGAGCAGCGGGTCTACTCCAAGTCTCTCCAGATAACTGAACTTCTCACTCTATCTCTAAGGGAGAGTCCAGTTACCCTGCAGAGGAAACTCATTTCAACTGCCTGCATCCATGATCTCATTCTTCGGTCACTACCCAGAGTTCTTGACTATAGGGTAGGAACGTAGACCGACTGGTAAAGAGAGAACTTTGCTTGACAGCTCAGCTCTCTATTTACCACAACGGACCAATACAGAATCCTCAATACTGCAGATGCTACACCAGGCCATCTGTCAATCTCACACTCCATCCTTCCTTCACTTGTGAACAAAACCCCAAGATACTTGAACTCCTCCACTTGATGCAAAACTTCACCCTCGGCCAGGGCCTCAGATTTGGAGGTGCTGATTTTCATCTCAGCCGCTTCACACTCGACTGCGAACTGCTCCAGTGAGAGCTGAATATCACAGCACGATGACGCCAGTAGGACCACATCATCCAGATAAACAAGAAATACGTTTTTTTACTCCCTTCTTTTCTGTGTGCAGGTTAAACGAACACCACACTACCTCATCTTACGACACTCTTGTTCAGCATATATGACACTTTGGATCAAAATATGGTAATTATATAGCCACAATTATATCTCCTCCTTGAATCGCCACCTTTTCGTGGTGGAGGAGTTTGTGCGCCTGAATGATCCTAGGAGCTATGCTGTCGTGTGCAATTTTAATTGCCCCTGGTAGGGTCTCCGAAGGCAGATAGGTCCTAGGTGACAGGCCAGACAAAGAGCGATTCAGAAGATTTTTATGGACAGGACAAAACAAGGAACTCTGTGTCCCTTGCCTGGACGTGGGTTACCGGGGCCCAATCCTGCAGCTAGACCTGAGGGAGGGGCTCGTCGGCAAACGCCTGGTGACCGGGTCTCTACCCATGGGGCCCGGTTGGGCTCAGCCCGAAGGAGCAGCATGGATTTGCTTTCCTGTGGACCCACCATCTGCAGGAAGGGCCGTAAAAGTCAGGTGCATGATGCCATGGGCAGTGGCCGAAGGCGGGGACCTTTGCGCTCTGACCCTGGCTTACCAAAGCTGGCTTTTGGGACATGGAACGTGACCTCTGGTGGGGAAGGAACCTGAGCTTGTGTGTGAGGTTGAGAGGTACCGTCTAGATATATCCTGATGCATGCTCAATAATCCAGGTAGAAAAATCCAAAAAAGTTCAGTCTGGTCCTCTGGACATCCAATCTGGATCTAGATATAGTTGGGCTCACCTCGACGCACAGCATGGGCTCTGGAACTGACATCCTTGAGAGGGGTTGGACCTTATTCCACTCTGGAGTTGCCCTTGTTTAGAGGCGTTGAGCTGGTGTGGGTCTACTTGTAGCCCCCCGACTTGGTGCATGTGTGTTAGAGTTGCCAGGACCGACCTGGAGGGGATGTTATTGAAAACCTGCGGCCATTAGCGCGCGCTAACTCCACCGCTGCTGGCTCTACTTTGGACAATATCCGGATGTGTTTGGTCAATGCAAGATCTGTTACCAACAAAACTTTTATCCTCAGGGATTACTTTCAACAGCACGATCTGGACTTTTTCTGC